CGGTTCAAATCCCGACATGGAAATCGGTTGCACTGCGAAAAAAAAAACCTGACAGTGGTTTTCCTCGGTCGTGGCCTACTTTAATACATAACCTCAATTGGTGCCGTACTAGAAATAAGTTTAATTTGTTACTGGATTCGGATGGAACCCTACAGACAGACGACTTCCTGCCATGTCTGAACTCTTTAAAGCAGAATGGTTACTGTCTGTCGTGATTCTAAGAAACAAACTTGATTATTTCCTTAAAAAATCGAACTTTTGGCAATGGATTCGCGTCATCTTCTGCGTTGGGAACATTAAAATAGGGGACTGACGTGTAAAAACCGCGAAACTTGGAGATGCACAGGGACTTAAAAATACCGCGAAAGGATCGAACACGAAACTGACCTCAAAAGACTTCGCTAGCAAAGACATCAGGTAAGGCACATCACAAGTCGGTTCCAGTGTGTGTTGATCGTGTTAAATTCTAACTGGGGGGCACTTCATTCAAGGGAGAAAGTTGCTTGACGACTGTAAGATTATCTGCACACACTGAAAAGACATCATCAGTCAACGGAACCCAAATAGGTCGACCTCAGGAGTGAACAAAGACAAGTCTAAGACCTTCCAGGGTTCCAAAGCAACATTTCTGAAGCCACGAGCGGCTTAAACCACCTCCAGACTAACTTTCCTTTGCGTGATTTTCTTCAGAACCTCTGCCCCTACGTTCAGCCAGCGCATAATACCAAAAAATGTACCTACGCTGTGAAGCTTCGCCCCACAGCCACAAGAGAAAAATACCTACCCCTGTCGGGAAATCCACCCTGGTCGTCCAACCCCGGCTAACCTGCGGGAACAAAGCGAGTCCCGTTATCGACACTGAAAGGAATTCCAAGATTTGGCCAGAGCCCACAGAACGGCGATCAACGAAGTTCTTTTACACGAAAGACCACGTGTCTTTTTCGAGCAACGACAGACAAGACGAATTAAAATGGCGACACATTGCGTTCCAATGACTGATTTCATTATTCGCTTTAAAACACCGGCATTTCGTTCTGATGTGCACCGGAATTCTATGCAAAGGATTCGACTAACGCAAAGAGTTCTTTCCTCTCCAGTGTACACCAAAATACACCTCTATAAGGGCACAAGTGACGTACGTTCCGAGAATTACGGGTCGCACACACACAGAATCTGATGGCCACGGGTTGATAACCCCTCATACACACATAAACAAAACCAGTTTCAACATCATTGCGTGGACGATACTGCCATCTTACGCAGAAGCGTTGAACTAGAACTATCGATTTTCGTCGGTAGATGGTGCAGTATACTACTATATAATTCGTCTGACGAAAATTCTGGGTTCACGGACCTATCGCGATAATAATTGTTGTATTTAATGGCAATATCTCGACTGTATGAAGTAGGGAGAGTGTAACAGACAGAGATCCTGATCTACTTTGAGATATTCCGGGTTTCTTCACGGCTGAGAGTCCAAAGAGCGTTACACAGACCAGAACACAAACATTAACAACAATGTGTTTCGCATCTGTTCACTGTAAACAATGAAGCAGCCGTAAGTAATGTACATAAATAACTACATATGAAATGGATTGTAGAGCCAAGAAATAACACACAAGAAGAAGAAGAAGAAGTCAGCAGTTATTTTAAGACTGCGTGAATCAATTTTTAATGACTGATAAATCCAAGTTTATTCCGAGTCTTCTGGCGAAGTGCTTTGCGTATTTACACACAATTAGAATGAGACAGAAGAACGTGTTGGCCTTGGAGTGGAGTAACTTTGCAGAAATTAATGCCAGATCGCGTGTTATTCCACTTCGCTCGGGGAATCTGGCATCAGTGTCCTCCTGTTCAGTATTTCCTGCTCGGACAAGGCACGTAACGAGAATAATTAGGCCTAATATCACGAAGGCACTGTGCCAGGGGCTCACAGACGCTGTAATGTCGCGGAAGACAGAAACATTTTACGTTGTATGCATTCTCCTTGTACGTCCTGAGTGACGTTTTGTACCGTCGTTAATTTCTGCAGAACCCTCAACTAGTGTCCCACCTGAGAACAAAATCGAGTTTCTTACGAAAATTCCACTCCCGTCTGTCTACGCCGATGTCACACCGGGTCTATTTCTAGTTTACAGAACTTGACAACCGTAAAGAAGTGTTAGTTACGACTCGGCGCCATCACACCACGAGAAATTTGTGCTTCCCGGCAGTATATATAGCGCATTTTAACCGACAGCTTCTGGATTCCTGCACCTGCTATTTTAAACACACCCCCCCCTCCACACAACACGCGCAACGTACGTCCAAATACACACAGCCTTCTGCGAACTGCCTAATCACGCCTGGAAATACCACCACTTCACAATCAGCGTATATAAATAATCTCCCATCAATTCCCCCAAATACACATTACATAACTTAATTTCACTTAACTCAGTTACAGAAAGAAACACTTGGTCACGTCTAAATAACATGTAAGAATTCATCCCGTACCGCGAAGAAAACACTACACCTCACCATTACGAAAATCAGCTGATTAACCCTTTGAAGCCGAAGATCGTCTGAATAAAATTTAAGAATTCAGCCCGTACCGCGAAGAAAACACTACACTTCACCATTACGAAAATCAGCTGGTTAACCCTTTGAAGCACGAAGCTCGTCTGAATATTATTTATGAATTCAGCCCGTACCGCGAAGAAAACACTTCACTTAACCATTAGAAGTCGAATCAGGCGGTACCACATAAGATTTAGCAAAAGAACATCCCGGTCGAAGCCATAATAATACGTGGTTTCGGAAGGAAACAACAAAATGTATTTATTCCTAATTTGTTTATCAAAACACGACCCACATACATTTGTCGTTTGACTGCAGATGACGCAGAATTGGCCCTACTGAGGGGCAACTACGTTTACATTTTCATGAATAATTCAAAGTCTCGTATTAATATCCATACGTTTGACCCACAAAATGACTCAAATGTATAGTAAATCTTGTAATAATTTTGTTGCACTCCACAGCCACTACCAGAATTGAGAATATCAACTTCAAAATGGCCTCTGCCGTGCATTGCAGCGTAGTCTAATACCAGAACAGCGAATAATTAACATGCCAAAAATGTCCTGAAAGTTCTGTAAGGATGGAATATCCTTAAAGGGAAGTGGTAAGCCCTGTAACCACAAGGTAAATTTCGACATCTTATGGTACATTTTTATAAAGAACTACAAACCCCCAGTCACAAACGCGGTAAGCAGATACAGAAAACCCGAAACTACGTGTTTACGCTTTGAAGATCGTGCATTCTACCTTCTCTTAAGAATAGAAAATAAAATAAGAAGATAATATTAAAACGGAAACCTTGGAATGCACTGGCTCAAACAAACTTTGCCACTAGCGGTGCTGAATTTTCGCTTCTTAGGTGAACTACATCGCGAAATCTCGGGACACAAACTCGGCCCCGAAACCAGTCATCCTGGTAGCCTTCAGTCCCTCCAGACCACGCCACGCCACAACCTGGCCGACAAATCGTACCTAGAGCACACACTACTACTTCAAGAAGATTACCGACGTTTCAGACGAACTTGCGGTGAGGATGAAGGCAACACGAGCCTCTTAAACGTCGGTGGTCTTCCATCAGACTACACGGCACAACCACCCAGAGGACGGCCTTCTTCGGAAGCGACGCCGTGAGAACCTCACGGTTTTACTGATTAGGCAGTCAGAGGACGGGGCCGGTCTTCTGTCATGCGGGCGTTCTGTAACGGGACGCTGGGCTCTCGGCCAGGGGCCCATCTCCCAGAGGTACAGAAATGTAAAAAAAAAAAAGTCAAACAAGAACGTTTCCGTTCGAGGCGAGTTGCTGTGATCACCGGGTCATCACCACAGCCAAAATGCTCGCAGAACCAACTTCCCTGTCATTAAAAACTTCCAGATTTAATTCGCGTCATCCGAAACTGTTTCGGTGACGGGATGAACATATAAATCAATCCCCGGAACAAACGCGACCCCTCCCGTCAGACCCACACAGGAAAAACCACTGTGCATACCTTCAACGCAGAAGTCAAACGATGCAGCTGCCCGGGGCCCAAATACAACCACAATTTTAATTATTTCTCGAATTTCGTTACACTTAATTTGCTGGTTTCCAAGATGGGCCCAGGAACACTGAAGATCCTCTTTAAAACAAATGTTCCATCCACTTTAACGGAGTACGATTCTGTGTAAACAGCATTAACCGATTAATCCAATGGTAAAGCGCTGTGTTTTCTTCGCGGTTCGGACCGAATTCTTAAATAAAGCCTCGCGTCGAGACTAGGAAACTTCTAACCTGGCGGTGTTTAAAGTTTACCCTTTTAACTTCATTGTATGAAAAGACGTAATCGTATTTGGAAAACGCCTATTAGCACAGAAAGTTTGTACAGACACAAAGCAGGGGGAAAAGAATCATTTCACCCCCAGAGAACGTCGGGGTTTAGTAATTGCACCGAGCGCTGTTGCCATAGCAACCCTAACCACAGACCCTAGGGAAGGTAATAGACATCCCTTCCCTTGCATTTCCAGTCCCCCCCCCACCCGGGTCCATAACCACTTTTGTTATCGTACACACGAACGCGTACATACTTTTTACCATCACTGTACCACGTGCACGAAGGTTTTAAGGGCATTGTGTGATCGATACTCGAGTGGCAATGTCTTTGTCGACTAGGGTTACAGAATGACTTTGATAAAGCAGCGACACACTCCCTAATCCCCTTAGAATCCCTTTCGGAACACAATCCGCGATGGTACACCGACGATCCACCCGAGGAATGGAGTACCACTGGGAGAAGGTACTGTAACGCCCGCCCATTTTTAACCAAATCACACCAAATGGACCTCGCTGAACTCCAATCTTCGAACGTCTTCCAACTGAGACGACGGGGCATTGCCTGGGAACCTTCGCACCCCTAATTCGGCTTCAAATGGTAAAGTTTTACGCCAACAACGCAGTCACGTACCTGATGAAGACTCTCTCCCGCTCCCGCTCAACCAGGATGTCCTCGGGGGCGGGCGCCAGCAGGTGGGTGCCGACGGGCAGAGGAGCGTACCGCTTACTCCACAACATGTCGGGGGCCAGCTGAGAATAGAGTCCGGGGGGCGGCAGGTGGTGGTGCAACGGGTGGGGGCTGAGC